TTTATATAACTCTGACTGGATTCGTCTGAAAGAAGAAAGTCATATACACCTAGGATGCCTCGGGGGGTGAGTGAAACACAGCCTAATTTTCATTTTTGGGTGAACTAACCCTTTAATGAACCTGAGCTAACATGAACATAAATGAAAAATTGTATCAGGTAACAAATAAAAAATGAATAATACTGCAACAAATACTGCATTAACTAACACTAACTAATGGGATGTTTTTGTAAAGTGTTGTTGACCTTTTTTTCCTGCTGAACACAAAAAGGGGGATTTCAAAGAATATCTGGCCACTCTTTTCAGTATAATGAAAGTAAACGAGTACTGTGTCTGTCAAGCTCTAGATTAGAAAGACAAAATGAGCATAATAAAATTATCATAAAATTAGTTTTAAGTTATTCACTGCTAATTTTCAGGGAATAACAACTTAAATTTCAGTCTGTTTCTCACACAAAGCAATCATTAGACTTTTGCAGATTTGGAAAAAGTTTTTTAAACTAGTTGTTTATTATTTTGGAGCTTGACAACCCCAGTCCTCCTTCACTTTAATTATACAGAAAAGAGCAGCTAGGGAACAACATGAGGGTGAATAAATGATGACAGAATTCTCATTTTTGGCTGAACTAACCCTTCAACATCAAGTGGACTGCACCATGTCCCCATTTGTTCAAACACATAACATCATTAGCCCAATCATGTTTTTCCCCCTCTTCTTCCACTCGTTCTCTCTTTCCCTCCTAGTCAAGAGGAAACATTCAATATCAACTAGGTCAACTGAACTAGTGTGGGCACCAGAGGCGAGAACACTGCAATTGGTCTGGCCAGAGCTGATATTTGTAGATAAATACCACATCCCCAGAGGTTCTCCTACAGTGAATTATTAGCAAAGCTTCATTGATCTCTCTCAAAATGGCAATAATCTTCAGTTTCATCCCGGCCTTTACTAGGGCTTCAAAGTGCATTAGGCTGCCTGGCTGCAATTGTTATCACAAAGGTGTTTTCCTGGCCTGACCATTTTATCCGAGAGTGCGAAAAAGTGTAAGGCGCTAAAGTGATTTTATTCCTCTCTGTGGTATGTGCTGCTGGTGTATTGTATTTTATAGCCACCAATAAAATTCTCCACTACTGCAAAGCTCTAGACCCATATGTGTATGAGCCTGATGCTTTTATGGTGATGAATATACTTATGTAATAAATGTTGTTTATGAAAGAGCTTGTAGTGCTTCCACGTTTTTGTTTTCTCTGGCAGGAAATTTCATTAGAAGGGTAATGATTTCAGTATATCTATAACAAAGCAGACAATCTCACTGACAATGTCACTGATCGGGGCAAAGTCATCTTTAAATTTCCTCTTATTCTTTCTTTGCATTTATGGTTTCATCCAGGTGAGATTTTCATATATACATATATTCCATTTTATAAATCAGATTAAAACTGTCACGGCCACATCACAACCAGGAGAAAAAAACAGACACGGTGGAATCAGATGAAATGTTTCAATGTCCAATGGGGAATAAAAAAGTTGGATTTTGAGCAGTGTAACATTAAAGCATCCGAGTCCTGGTTTGATATCTGTCATAGGCTGCTCTGTCATTACAATGATGCCACTTTGATATGTTGCCATCTGTAAAGAACAGCCACCTGTCTCCATCAATCATCATAACAGACCGATGAAAAAAGCCACAAACTGTCATTTCATGACAGCAGATAATGACCAACACAACTGTGCTTTCAGTATTCGTGAATAAACAGGTAATGACATGGCAGGTCATTTAAATCTGTCCACGTGCGCTTGTAATCTAATACCAAACAATGGCGAGTAAACCTCAGAGGCAATATCCTGGTGCGCAAGACAAGTTTGGGAAGGGACTGAGTTCGGGATTGACAACCGTGTTTGCTAACAGGTGACTCTCCAATTGTCCTGTTCATACAACAGCTTGCAGTAGTGGCTTCAGTATGAACGAATAACTGAAGTGAGGCTTCTTTTATATTCTGTGTAACCATAGTGACAAGTGCGGTTCAGTTCACACTGCACAAGTTAACCAATGCAAGTGTGATTGTTATATAATGTGGTGTCACTCTGGATTTTGAATTTAAACTGAGGTACATGTAACAAACAGGATGCAGAATAGCAATTCAAATTTGAATTTAAAGGGGATGTCTAATGCTATTTCATGCATTCTGACTTATTTACACTGCTAAAGAGTTAGATTCTCATGCGAAACATAACCAAAGTCTCAAAAACGAGTTGGATGTATGACAGAGAATTTCTGTGCCATATAGAGTATTTCTGTGCGAAGTTTTTTCCGAGTATGGGCCTGTATGTATGATGTCATAAAGGGTGGAAAATCCTTGTATGGGTACTTCTCCAGAAGAGCGTGCACACATATCAATCAGGGGTGTGTTTCACGTACAACGATGTAACTTGCTGATTAACCACCATAGTACAATGCATTGTTGTGGAAATGAACTAGCTCACGACTGTTTCCCGGGCATGGTAGCATCTCCGTCATTTGAACCACATTAGTTCAACAACATAGGGCCGTTGTTAATGACATCACACGCATGTGGTTGAATAATAACTTCTGCTATTTAACTGATTAGAGATCTTTAAGATGCTGCTGTATTGAACATGGCACCTGATGACTAATTTACTATTTTTTGTTCCCTGTCATTTTGATTTATTTGATGTTACTCCGGGGTTCCCTTCAAAAACAGCACTTATTGAGGACGCGCTAAAATACATAGATTAAAATTCATTTATATTTAGATAGAATGGAATATATAGATTTTATTACTGTGCATGCTAGCTTGCTTATTGCGTGTGCTTGTGACTCTTTAGCTCCACCTACGGCACGCCTCCAGAAGCTCAACGGTAAAGCTGTATCTTTCTTTTATAAATCCGATACAACTTAAGACTCTTCGAAGATATGAAGCATGCAATACTACTCTATATGTACTCAAGATTAACATGAGATTGGCAGAAACTGTGTGCGTTATGTCCACTTTAGTTAAAACTAAAATAAATGAAAGAAATTCATTGTAATTTAGCTGCACAGTTGTTAATAACACCTTATTTGAATGTTTAAAAAGTGGAAAAAGTTAGATACACTCTTAAAAATAAAGGTGCTTTAAAAGGTTCTTCACAGCGATGCCATAGAAGAACCATTTTTGGTTCCACAAAGAACCATTCAATCAAAAATTCTTTAAAGAACCATCTCTTTCTTACCTTTTTATAATCTGAAGAACCTTCTTTCACCACAAAGAACCTTTTGTGAAACAGAAAGGTTCTTCAGATGTTAAAGGTTCTTTATGGAACCAATTAGACAAAAAGGTTCTTCTATGGCATCGTGAAGCACCTTTATTTTTAAGAGTGTAGATGACAACACATTCTAGAACCAAAAGTCCCTTAAATTTATAGTACTAGACAGACAGACAGACAGACAGACATACAGACAGATAGATAGATAGATAGATAGATAGATAGATAGATAGATAGATAGATAGATAGATAGATAGATAGATAGATAGATAGATAGATAGATAGATAGATAGATAGATAGATAGATAGATAGATAGATAGATAGATAGATAGATAGATAGATAGATAGATAGATAGATAGATAGATAGATAGATAGATAGATAGATAGATAGATAGATAGATAGATAGATAGATAGACAGACAGTAGTGAATGTACAGTCAGGGATAGCAGTCAGGAATCGCCTGGCCCTCTCTCACACGACTGGGGCTAGTGAGTATAACTCAGTAGAATATAATGAAATATAACACCACTTCTTGTCACAGGTCAGCAACCAAGCCTGCTCGGGGAATGCCAAAGCCATTCATTATGAAAATGCTATTCATTGATTTGTCATACATTGTAAAACTCTATCAGAAGGGCAATTTTTAAATATTTGCAGGAATGCCTGAACGGCTGTGGCATTAGCATTAATGCTATTCAATCGCTCTTGGTTTTCAGAGCAACTTGCCCAAGCCCTCTGAAACCAGAGACACATTAAGCACTTCAGCACAGTCAATGAAGTAAAATAAGACAGGATTGAGTATATTAGATAAGAATTATGATATATAAGCTGCGCTCTACTGCAAGACAGCTAATTAAATAAGAACATATTTGATAGCAACTGACAGTGCAGCATTCTCACCCAGGTCCCATCATTACTGTCGGAGAGAAAGAGGGAATTAGAAGGTGTATAAATACCATATGGTGTGTGCTGAATTGTCTTGCATTAATGTCAATTATATCCCCTCCGAATACATCAAATGTTCTTAATCCTCATTTTTATTTGTTACCCAGCTACAGACATATTCATCTAATGACACATGTAATGCATAAACTCTATATACGTACATACACACTGTTTAGTACAAAGATGCCCTGCAAAATAAATAAATGGACAAGCAAACAAACACATTGATGTTTATACAAATCTCTCCAACTGGCATACAAAACAAAGATATTATGAAAAGAAACAATTACAATATTTGAATATTTAGATTCAATATCTTTCTTTAAACATTTATCTTAATGGCCAATTTCTCACTTTCTCCTCTCTCACTGATTCTGGTCATGGCAGTTCTGTTTCTCAGCTTAGTTGGGGTTCAAAACACTTAATATTTAGTAATATTATCAATTTGATGGCACTGACACTATCAGACGAGAACAGAACTGAACAATGACACTATCGTCTTCTATAGATCTGCTTTATAGTTGAATCAAATTAATTTATAATTGATTAGTTTTGCAACATCGACACTGATAAAAAAGATTTTGTGAAGTAAATACTATAGAAAAACGAATGTAATTTCTACATTAAATAATTTAGTTCAGGCAAGAATTTAAAAAGAGTAAATTCTATATTAGTACTCAATTTAAGCTTATAGAAATTAAAGTTTGAACTTATAAGTATATTTTACTTGGAATTTTTTGTTAAATTTACAAGGATTATTTAAGTAAATATCAAGGTTATGACGCTGTTGTTCCCATCATGCACTGGGGCATGAATAATAAAAAGGGTCCTATTATGCTTTTTCACTTTTTCAACTTTAGTTAGTCTGTAATGTTGCTGTTTGAGCATAAAAAAGATCTGCAAAGTTACAAAGCTCAAAGTCCAATTCAAAAGGAGATGTTTTATTTAACAGAAATCACTTTTCAAAAACTACAACGAACGACTCGTTTGGACTACAACGCATATTTTCCGGGATTTGTCATATCACAAATACCGACGAATGGGACGAGACCTGGTTGAGCTGCACTAGAGAAGGCAACGAGTGTTATCACTATGTCAGAGACACGCTAGCTTTCCCAAGGCAGACGAACTTAGAGGGGTTACAATCATCCGGGTTTAAATCTCGCCCAAATTTATTTGATTTTGACGCAATATTTACACTGAAGCTCGCAGGCGGCTATAGTAAGGGGCGCTGGCCCAGCTAACCAATCACAACACACACTGGCCCAGCTAACCAATCACAGCACACATTGGCCCAGCTAACCAATCACAGCACATTTCGTATTTCAGGAGGTGTTGTAATAATGTAAAATATGTGAAAAATAATGTGTTTTTCGAACAACCTAGTATGAGAGCCTGTTCTAGTACACCCCCAAAACAAAATCAAGACTTTGTAAAAGAGCATAATAGGACCCCTTTAATAAGGTTGATTTTTCACTGTTTTTGAGTTGTATTTACACTATTGTATGGTTGCTTTTGTTGTTAGGTTTAGTAACTTGCTGTTTGTGACATTTTTCTACTCAAAATGACCCTTTAATACTTAAACATTATCCACTGATTGTTACCTTCGTTGTGTACTGCATGTGTACCAAGTATTGAGGTCTCTGTGTTCATTTAATAACTATATTGAGTAGATATATTATCTTAAAAAGGATAACAAGCTGTCTACTTGCTTATACCTAAATGTTTGAAAGTGAACCACATGCTTTAATAACGTTTTTTTTTTCAGTAAAGTTGAGTAAAGTTTACAAACCGTGACTGAGTGAAATGTACTTGAGACTTAAAATAATCAAGTAGAAATTACTCATCAAACTCTAACTGGCCACGTTAAATTTACATTTACATTTAGTCATTTAGCAGACGCTTTTATCCAAAGCGACTTACAAATGAGGACAATGGAAGCAATCAAACTCAACGAAAGAGCAAAGATACGCAAGTGCTTTAACAAGTCTCAGTTGGCTTAACGCAGTACACGTAGCAAGTTTTTTTTTTTATTATTATATAATAAATACAAAGAAAACAGATAGAATAGAAAAAGAATAGAGCAAGCTAGTGTTAGAGGCCTTTTTTTGCTTTTGTTAATTGTATAATAAATAAAAAGAAAACAATTTACTTATTTACTTGGCTAATTTTACTTCACTTTTTAAAGTAGAGTTTACTTAATTCCATACTTAAATTTTACTTATAAAATATGTGTGCGAAAACGAGCAAAAGAAAAAATAAGTACATTTTACTTATTGTTTTTTTTTTCAGTGCTGAACTAACTCAAGCCGACACAATTGTCTTCACTTGAGCTGCTTATAGCTCAATCAAACTTGTTTTATAATGGGTGAATTTTACCCAGTTATTGAACTGAACTGAATCAACACTGAATTGACTTGAATAATGACACCACTGTCTTCTTACAGCAGAATTGGGATTTGTCTTGTACTTCATGAATTCTGCATCATTGATACTGCTACTTTCCTATTTATCATTGTACAACTGCTTTGAAACAATCTTTATTGTATGAAGCAAAAAAGGTGACTTTACTATGGTCACTATGAATTGCTGTTTTATGGAAAAGAACTTCAAAAATGCTCCTTTTGAATTCATACATATAAAAACATATAGATTTGCAATGACATTAGGAAGGATATCCTAATGTTAAAGTAACACACCTTAACAATTTCTTATGACTGTCTCATAAGGGGCATTTTTTTATTATCCATTATATAATGGCTATATAATGAAAGGTTAAAGTGTGGCACTTTAAAAAAGAATGGACCATAAGATGTTCAGATTCTTGCTTTGCAAGTTTTGAGTTTTCCTATATTGGTGTCACAAAGTTAAGTCGCAATATGTGCCTCCTACACAAGGCATGGCCCTGTGGCTCCTCTATTGGTTATCATGGAGGGCAGCCTTTATCAATCAATTGAATAAACTGCTTTCATAGCATCTATTGAAAGACAACTCTGACAAGGGGCTAGAAGTGCCTCCACAGCAGTTTTTCCAGCAGCAGGGGGGAGTAAATAAGTAAGAAAGGCAATAACATCAGCCTGGACAGCAGCGCAGCTCTGACACTGCTGTTTGCTTCAGTCTTTTCTCTACCTCAGTGATTCATTCCTCATCCTGATGGGCTCCAATTGACAGCAGTGCATAAAAGTGGACCGCT